GGTAGGGGATGAGGAGTAACCCCAGGCAACACAGCAGCCATCCTACGACGGCGCCGTCATCTATTCGACAGCGCGGGCCGGGACCCGCCTCGTGTTCCCAGGGGGCAAGAAGCATCGAAGGCATTGGAAAGGGAGGGGGGATGAGTGACTGCTTATCAGTGTAAGTGTATGTGTGTGCGTGTCCATAGTTTAGCTGAGACAGTGTCCTTCGGCCTATCAGGCTAAGTAAACAGTCCTCCAGCCTATGTAGTATGTTAACACAATTGGAAGTAAAAACAACTTGAACTCCAATTTTGAAAACACAACTTTCTTTTTTTTTATATAAAGCCCTGACTTGTATTATGAGTCTGTGGTCTGGGAGAGAGTTCTGTAACTGTCTGTCTGCAAAATACAGTATAAAATGACCAATGTTGGGTAATTAATAATATAGTTACTTCTTCAAAAAAGTAACTGAGTTTTGCAAACAAAGTTTTTTGCAGCTGTTTATCTAAAAATGCAGCCAAGGCATTTTTTAAAAATAAACACTGCAGACTATTTACAGAACAATCAAGTGTTCTGCAAATTTGATGCCACACAAATTATTTGTGCCTCTCCAAAAAGTAATTTCTGTCGACTATGAGATAAAAGAGAACATCACAAGCATGATACCTGGAGGCCTGACAACAGGAGATTTATCACTCCTGTTAACACCTGTAACATTCAGCAGTCGCCTCATTGTTCTGACACACACAACAAAACTATTGACTACACTACACACTAACTACACATGAACGCACACTCACTTTAGACTCCAAACACGCTAAACGTCGCAAATCTCTCACATCTCAAAACACCGCCATCACTCCACAAAATTTCCCCCCTTCCTAAACAACTAAATGCCAAGTTGCCATATCATTTTTTGATTGGTCAACATGGCACATTTTTCCACCAATAGGAAAGGGAGGGGTTTTTTTTTGTGCTCACAGGTGGAGAGTGCTTTCGTGCGCTTTCCTTATAAAACTACATTTTTACCGTTTCTTCCTGCAGTAAATATAAACAATAATAGTATTCAGGAAAAAAACAAACATTGCATATATTTTTTATCATAACTCTGGTTTTACGTGGCCTATCAACACAATTTGGGCAGGGATAGCTCAGTAGGTAGAGTGGTGGCCCCATGATCGGAAGGTCGGGGGTTCGATTCCCCTGAACAGCCACCCTGAGGTACCCCTGAGCAAGGTACCGTCCCTACACACTGCTCCCCGGGCGCCCAGTGGCTGCCCACTGCTTCACTGAGTGAATGGGTTAAATGCAGAGAGGGATTTTCCCCACGGGGACCAATAAAGTACACTTTCTTTCATTTAAAAACTGGTATAAAGTCCACACGTTTTCCGTCAAGTGTTCTGTCTGTCCTGCTCACATCTCCAATGGTTGTACACGTCATTAACATGGCTTCACTCCACATCAGCCATGCCGCTTTACTAGCTAAAACACTGGTGTCAGCACATAAGGACGCTGTCAACGTAGCCTGTCAACGACGTTGATTAGCTGCATATATATGAATGTGAATCGCATCATTGGCTGGAGCAGCCAGTCACCCGTCACTTACTGACTCACACTGCAAAACAGAATGAATTGTTAAAGTATTTATTTTAATTTCAATTCAGGTTAGATTTTTTTTTTTTTTTTTTTGTGCGCAATGCAGATTTTCTGTGAGCAGAGACCGTGCCAGCAGTGTGCGATTGCACACGCGTGCAGCTTAGAGGGAAGATTGCTCTGCAGACAAGGGAATCTGCCAGTAGCCCTTGTTTAAATCCAGCATCGTGAAAAAACAAGCAGTGCCCAACCAGCCCAGGAGATCGTCGACCTGGGGCATTGGGTACACATCGAACGTGACACCTCATTCACCTTGCGGTAGTCCACACAGAACCGTATAGACCCATCTTTCTTCACCACAAGAACTATGGGCATATATCTTATATATCATATAACTATGGGGCTACTTTTTAGCCTCAGCATATTGTTCAATTCTGCAATTCAGCAATTTGTCTTTTATGCTCCAGGAGCCTGTAGGGCCATGAACCCACTGTCACGCCAGGGTGTGTCTCAATATGGTGCTCTATGAGAGACGTTCGGCCGGGCAGGGGGAGAACACATCAGCAAAGCGCTGTTGCAGTGCAGCAACATCTGCTCTCTGGGCCTGTGTGAGTGGTCATCACAATGGAGGGAGGCGGGGATGGTGGAATTTGGCACCTCCGGCCCACACTCATCTCTCTCCTTAACCAGGCTCAACAGAGCAGTGGTTTCAGCCTCCCTCCATGCTTTAAGGAGGTTGAGGTGGTAAATTTGCGTCGCTCCTCTCCTGTCTGACTGGTCAACCTCATAGTCAACGTCCCCCACTCGCTGTGTGACCACAAAGGGCCCTCGTCACTTGGCGAGCTGGAGAATGGTAGTAATACAAGCATATTGTCTCCTGGTGAAAATTGCCTGAGCCTCTGTTGTACAAGCTTTGCTGATGTTGCTGGGCCTGGAGTAAATTCTCCCGTGATAACCACCCCAACCTGTGCAGCTTTGCTCTCAGGCCCAGCACGTATTGAATTTTATTCTTTGTGGGGCTCGACCCTTCCTCCCAGTTGTCTTGAATCAAGTCGAGCACCCCTTGCGGCTACCTGCCATACAGTAACTCAAAGGGAGAAAATCCCATGGAGGCCTGGGGTCTAGCCACCGATCCCAATTTCGTTCATCCTCGTGAATAAACTTAAGAATCATGGACTTTAAAGTCTTTTTCAGCCGCTCCACCAGCCCATCAGTCTGAGGGTATTAGACACTGGTCCGAATAGATTTAATGTCCAGTAATTTGTATAGCTCCCTCAGAGTGCGAGACATGAACGACGTGGTCTGGTCAGTCAGCATTTCTTTCGGAATACCGACTCGCAAGACAATGCCTGGGCCACACTCTTGAAATGGTGTGCAGCAGTACTGCTTACGGGTATCACGTTGCATAAACCACCAGCACCAACACAAAGCGATAGCCGCGTGCACTCCGGTGGAATGGCCCGAAGATATCCATACCAATGCGCTCAAACGGCATCTCCATCAGCGGTAATGGGCGCATTCCTTTGGAATGGCTGGGTGGTTAACCAGCTGGCATTCTGGGCACCACCAGCGGCGCACATCGGCCCAAATACCCGGCCAATAGAATTAGGCCATTATGCGCTCCAGAGTTTTCTTGCATCCTAAATGCCCTGCCATGGGGTTTGAATAAGCCGCCTGGAAAATGTTTCCCGGCGGCTTTGTGGCACCAACAACTGCGTGCAGATCTCATTCGTGCGAGTGTCAAGACTCACTCGATAAAGCCGATCGTTCCGTAACTGGAAATGGGTGTAAGTCCGCGAGGCTTCAGGGTGCACCAGCAGACCATCAATATCTATCACCTGGTCATAGGCTGAGCGTAGGGTGTCATCCCGAGACTGCTCTAGGGAAAAATCTTCTGTGGGGTGCATAACCGGAGGCAGTGGGGCCTCTGTAGAGGTTCCCGCCACCTCCTCCCCCCCAGAGTCAGTATCAGTCGACCCAGTGTCACTGCTAAGTGCCGGGCAAACATTACACAAATTTACTGGTTGCGATTTCACCCAGTTTATTACCCCAGTAAGCTGTGGAACTGTGCCCAAAATGGGATGCGACATGCCTATCTCCGTCCTGCTGATCTCGCCTCCCCTCCCCTGAGCTGCAGACAACAGCAGCTGACGCTCTGAGGGCCCCCCCCCTGCCCGCAGTACCGGCGGCGGTCCTGCCGGCAGGTTGGTCCTCCGCCAGTGTTGGCCCCGGACGCAGCCAGCTCGCCGCCGTGTCCTCCAGCTGTCGAGCCCAAGTGAACGGCTGCTCCCCCGCTGACATCTGACTAGCCCGAAATCGCCTCCGGTAGTCCTCCGGGGTGAACCCGAGCCAATCCAATACTGCCCTGCAAACATCCTCAAAGACACCCCGGGACGCCGGGGGCAGGCTGGGCCGCCATCTGTGCCTCCCCTGACAGCAGCGGCAGAAGCCTGGAAGCCCACTCCTCCTCAGGCCACTGGCAGGCAAGTGCTGTGGCCTGGAATGTCTGCATAAAGATTAGCGGGTCCAAGATGACATGGTTGAAGTTCCCCAAGATTGCAATGAAGGCAATCAGGTGCTAAGTCTGTAACTGGGCTATGGCAGAGTGGATAGTGTCAGACGCAGCTGTGGGGTTGGCAGAGGGAATGTAAACAGGCTCCAAGTTCAGAAGGGTAAATTCCCTGTGCAAATAATACGACCTGAGTCCAACAGCGCACAGTTCAATGTCCGGACAACAAATCTGTTCTTTGATTGTTATGTGAGCAGGGTTACCCGCTCGCTGCACTGTCCCGGTCAGCCCAAACAGTGTGGAAGCCATTCACGGATGCGTTGTCATCGGGAATATCCTGGTGCTTCCCTGATTCAATGAAACACATCAAGCTACACTCCCAGTACTCCCTCTGACTCTGTGCTAGCGCTTTTACGTCATCCATCTTGTTTGCTAGTGACCGAACACTCCTGATTATAATAGGTGGCAGACACGGTTTGCATCTTCTTCTCTCTTTGAGCCTTGCTGTCTCCTTCTTTCTCTTCTTCTGTCCTCCACCTCTGCATCCTCAGTGTGTTTTCCTCCAGATTTCAGCTGGTACTTCCGTGGGTCTGAGGACTGAAAAGCTGGCTGGCATCAGGGCGATCAGCTGATCTCTGGAGTAAACCATCCGTGCTGTGTGTAGGAGCTGTGCCACGGTCCCATTCCTCAATAAAAGTAACACTTGCGCGGTCAGAAGCAGAACCAAAACTCTCGCAATTCACATGATTGAAAGGAAAGCTATTAAAACAGACGAACACTCTAAGTACAAAGTAAAGGACAAAGAAATAAGTAAGAAAAAGTTAAACTAAAGAGAAAAAACAGAAGGAACTGTACTGCATGCATGATTGACGTTAAAATGTTGCACCATGTTGACAGCAGCAGGACAAACACAGAGTGGAGAGAAGTTGTTTATTAACATCCCAAGTCAAAGCTTAAAAGAAGATTTTAAAGTCTTTGATTGGAACCTCTTGGGTACATTGTTCCTTTTAGTCTGGGAGTCACAATTTCAGGTAATGCCGGGGCCCAGTTCTGATCACCTGGTTAATTGTATTTCTGTTTTCATTGTCTGGTTTCAGTCAGTTTCAGGCCTAGGATTCATACTGAACTCGTAAAAGTCTGACACCAATTTTTAGCCTAGATTTGACCTGATTTTAATCAAACAAAGTTTTTCTTGCTGGCTGGTCATGACTCATTTAGATAAATTGAACAGGGTCTTTCATAGGGCGTCATTTATAACGTGTTCTTGTCTTTCTTGGTCTGTTCTGATTTCGTCTGGTCCTTCCTAGTCTGTTCGAGTACCTCTTGGCTGATGAATGTCCTGTAGAGTTCATGAGCGTTGGTCTGGAATGTTTCTTTCAGATCGAAACTGCAGGTTTGGTTACGATCACCTGTGGGACAGGGGGCGGTACTGGAGGAGCACTTGGGGGCGGGGCTAATCTGCAGGACAACACAGAAAAATCAAAGGTCAGCACTTCAACAGTGAGGCTGAACAGGAGCTAAGTCAGGACAGGAGGAGCATCCTACTTGGGTTTTATTGGTCTTAACCTCATTCTTCTTGGTCGACACAGATGAATGCTGCTTCAGTGCGTTGGTGGTGGGAAGAATCATTCCCTGACCAAACTCTGTGGGATCAGAGGTCACAGTTACCCCATGGGTCATCTCCCTGGCTGATCTTTACAGGTGTAAATTTCATAATGAAGCGTTTTAGGGACTGTCTCAGAGTAATGGCTTGCTGAGGGCTGAAACTACAAACGTTCCAACCACCAGGAGAAGCTCAAAACAGAGTACTAAAGCTCCACTTAGATTTAACGTGTTTTGCTCACATGCATTTGTAGTGGATGTGTCACAATCCTGGGTCTTTTTACCCAGCGTTTTGAGTTTTTGTTAATTTGGATGTTTATGGTTTATGTTTAAGTTCATTGGGTTTTCTAAGGTAATTTGTTTATTAGTTTCCCCTTAAGTTTTCAACCCCTGTATTAAGTATCCCTTGTCCTTTATGTGTTTCATGTCTTCATGTCTTTTGTTGTGACAACATGAACTTGACACATCTGCGTTTCATTATCTTTCCCATTTTATTTTGAAGAGGTTCTGTGTTCCTGTGTTCTATGTGTTTAGCTTTACGTTTCCCCTGTGATGTCGTTATCCTCACTTGTTTCCCCATGTGTTTCCACTTCCCTCATTATCCTCCTGTGTGTACTTAGTCTGTGTGTTTTCAGTCATTTCTTGTCAGGTCGTCTGCTGTTTTCACGTCATGCATCCAGGTTTTTTTTCCATGTCTCCATGCCAGGTTTCATGTTGAAGGTTTTTTCATGCTTTAATCTTAATTCACCCAGTTTAGTTTATTGTTTAGTTTCACCTTTGTCTTTTGTTTTGTACTTCTTTGCCAGCCTTAATAAACGGCTCGGTTTTGTTATTCCATGTCACGTTTCACATTCTGTTTTGGTCTGCATTTGAGTTCTTTTTCGCAATACATACAGTCTGCCTCAGCCAGACTCTGACAGGATTGCTGGGTGCTAGAGTTAATTGTAGACTCTGGTTGTCTCAGTAACTCACCCCCTCATATCAGCAGTATTCTTAACACTTTAGTATTCACTTCCAACTATTATCTCAAGCCTGGACCCACCCACCTCTCACTGCTGAATTTCACAGAACTTTAATGGTTTCAAGTTTCCACATTACTTCTAGCTTTTTCCTGTTTAGACCCACCCCTAAAAGGCTTTGATAGTTACTGACCGATCTACTTAAGAGACACAGAGGAGACACCCACGAACAGTTCTAAAAACTCCTTATGGTCAGAAACTGCCTGATGTCTTCTAGGTAACACACCTGATTTGAGCCGCTGGACATACTCGCCCAGAACCCTGCGAACCTCCTGGATGCCGGAGGTCTTCATGAGGTCCAGGAGAGGTGTGTTGGGCTGGTCTTTACAGAGAGCCACGCAGATCTGGATAGCAACATAATTATCAATACACTCATCTGTGCAGTCATCACTGGGTTGCAGGGTATGTGATCAGAATCAGAAGTCAAACTCACATCCAGGTCATCCTCGTTATTCTCGTCAGACAGGTTGGACACATCAATAGTTCCTCTGAACTTCACTCCCCTGCAGGACATCCCTGCACACAGAAAACAGTTGGCACTACAGAAAAAGAGCAACCCTATGTTAAAATCCCCGCTGTACACGTGGCTAGAGATTCTGGCAGTCATAGTCAAATGTATTCCAAGGGCCAGAGCGGGTGACACTGAGTCAAAATGAAACCTTTCATTCAGGATAAGAGTAGATTTAGTAGTTATAATTAATATCATCAGCAAAGACTCCTGGTTTACAATAATGGCTTACACAGCAGTGGGGAAGAACTCTTCAGTATTATATTTTTTCAATACCATGTGCCAACACAATGCAGAGCCACTGCTTGAACTCTACTCCCATAGAGATTGATTATCTTGTTTAAAATGTTACCTGATTCTGAAAAAGAAAGACTGAAATCAAAAGCACTTGACTCCCTGGTATAAATGAATAATGTGCATTTTCAACCAGATAACCTGTGAGCTAAAGAGGAAATGGTGTCTTGCTGATTTAGAAGATCTTCATTTAGCAGGAAAAATAATTTGTTGCTCAATAAAAGTAAAGCATGAACACCTGACTATTCAACACTCACAATGAAGATTCTTTACAGTTTTTCCCCAGTGACCACTGAAGTTAGGGTTAACGCTGCCACGTTGTGCGACGTGCTTCTAGATGAACTTTGGCTAAAAGGTTTAGTGCATGGGTCTCAAACCTAAATGAGCTATGGGCCACTGCTGGCACTGTCATCTTATTGGAGGGCCACTTCAGTGTTCAAGTAATACAAAACAAACAAATAAGAAAACACCCACAAATATTTTCTAAAATGTAGTGTTGTATTTTTAAATTTCAAATATTGTATAACAAGACAAAACGTTTTTTTTCTCACTCTTAACTGAAGCCCTTCATTGAACCACCAAATAAACACATCAGTACTCTCTACCTGACCAGACACATGGCAGCACTTCTACTATCATTTTGTTCATATTTAACAAATATGCAGACATAAGTGTACACATTAGTTTTTGACTCTCTCACTGAACTAACAGAGCCAATCCCTCAGCATATTTGTACTCTCTGCTCATATTGCCTTCATATTAAATCATTTTTGGCTTCTTAAATAACTCATTTTAACAAAAAAAAGTCACTTCAAGGATCAAACTGTCAATATACGGGGCAGCAAGTAGCCCCTGGGTTGTGAGTTTGAGACCCCATATCTACAGCATCTACGTGAAGGTTAAAGTCAGTCACATGAACCAAATTGAGATGGTCTCCCATGATGAATGGATGGACGACATCATCAGTGAGATCACTGACCCAGCCAGCTGAGACTCAGCTGCCACTCGTAGAAGTAGAAGAGCTTCCCTTTGCGGTTATTGATGGAAGCTTCTCCCTCCAGCTTAGTGACTTCGGTCAGATGGCAGACACCCTCAGGTCCCTCCACCTGCACACCGAGCAGCAACTGATGGAGGCACTCCAAGGACCAGGAGGACACATCTCGCTCTGTCCTGACCAGGGGAGAGAGGAGGGTCAGCGGGTACCAAATCACGCCCACCTCTGACATCACAGAGTTCAAAAATACCTCCAAACATATGCTGAACCAGCTGCGGCTCACATAACACACACTGAGAGTCTAAAATAGCTCATCCTACAGTATCACATACACACTGAGATCATTCTGGAAATGTCCTCTTCTTACTCAGTCATGACATTCAGGCTGTTACCATGGAAATGAGGCCAGTGCCCTCAGTTACCTGCAGGAAGCCCCAAAGATTACTCAAAAATTAACTTCTTGCGCGTTTTCTATCACTGAGCTGAAGCAACTTCTATAGCAACAGCATTACCTGAATTCTACCTTCATCAGTCTGTCTGTCTGCCACATGGACCAGTTTATATTTATTACAATAAATAAGTAGTAGTAATAATAATAGTAGTATAATGAGTACTGCAGTGATGGTAGCATTGATGAAGATGAACAGACCAGTGCCAGTTGTTGACGTTGGTGGCGTCAGCTCTCTCCTCTACTATCCATCGAGGATCTCCTTCACCCCACTTAGCCATCACGATCGCTGATCAATACAGGGCCAATGAGACACTGCTGCTCACACTGGTAAAACCCTAAGCCTGACACCAGCTGAAAAATGAAACGCCCACTTCCTCTTAGCACTGTCAAAGTAAAAGCACAGAGGACGTGGGACCGACAGTTACCTTGAGGCCAGCTGTGGGTCTTTGCTCCCAGATTGAGAACCAGCAGAGCTATACCTGCACGCTGCTCTCAGGTGATAATAACCTAAAGCCTCCCAGGTGGAAATAAATCAGCTGATGTCTGCAACCAATCTGTTGACAGTCACATCACTGATGCTGAATGTAACAGACCAATCAGATCCATTTTAGAAGAACGACTCCTCTGGTTTATGTGATGTTTTAAGACAATCAAATTAAAAAGAATATCTGTCTGGTTTCCTGCTCCTTTAATCGAATTATTGATTAGATCAAAAATGGACTTCCTGGTGCAGCGTACTACAGCTCCCAGCAAACTTCGCGCAGCCGGAAGCATCCTCCGTCAAAGAGAAAGGGACGAAGAAGCAGGTGAAGGTAAAAAAAAACAAACAAACAGCTGATTGATTCTCATCGATTATCAGGTTTACAACCAGCGGTTTGTGCTTGATGTCTACAGATTAGACACCTGCGGAGTGACGTCACATTCCCACCGTTTGTCACTAAAAACACTAATATGCGGATTTTTCATTTAGCTAGCTAATGCTAACATGCTAATAACAAACCTGCAGCTGTTACCAGAAAACGTGTCTGTAAAGGTTCTCAGTCATCCAGGTCATCGTAGTCTAAGGAGCTTGGAAAGAAAACCATCTGGACTTCTTTAAGTTGCTTGAAGACGTTTCACCTCTCATCTGATAAGCTTCTTCAGTTTGACCCTAGAACCGAAGAAGCTCCTCGGATAAGAGGTGAAATGTCTTCAAGCAACTTAAAGAAATCCAGACGCTTTTCTTTCCGAGCTCGTTACTAGAAAACGCACACGTGCATAGCAGATGTGGGTCCGGGATCAGGCTAACCAACACGGGCTACGGCAGACTGCAGCGCACTACAACTCCCAGCAACCCCGCGAAATTGTAGTGGTTAGGTGTGGGAACGAATCATATCTCACAATAATTTCTATTGAGAGCTTCAGTAGATTTTCTTAATGTACAGGCTGTGATCAGCTGATCTGCTGCTCTTTATGGATGTATACACCTGAATTCAACAAGATGTGAGCCGATGTTTCCTGAGTTGTCCTAGCTGATTTCATCCTCTACACTGACAGTACACTGTTTATGCTGTCTTTATGTTAGACACTATACAAACATCATCAACTGAAATTCATATGAATCTCTGCTACACTTGATGTAAGCTAACTGAAATGAAACCACAGCATCTGTGCACCTTTACTGTATCCACCACAGTGCAGAAAACTAACCTGTTTATCTTTTTCTCTCCCTGTGAAATGCAGCTGGACCTTTAGCTGTAACACACTGTGGGACAAACTGCACACAAACAGTTTTTATATGTTTGCTGATGTTTGTTGAGCTGATAGAAATGCTGCATTTCAAACTGCCTGACACTTAAAAAACGTTACTCCCTTTATGCTCGCTCCTCTTCAGCAGGGCTAGCTAGATGCTGAAGTACCGCAAACACAATTCATGGACACCCCTGGCGATGACTATGAAGGTTCGCAGTGATATAAAATAATTACTCCCCTCAGATGTGTTAAAACTAAAGTAAGGAGCCGTTTTGAAAATGTAAGGAGTAGAAAGTTCAGATATTTGTATAAAATGTAGGGATAAAAGTAAAAAGTTGTAAAAAAAAAAAATAATAATAATACTCAAGTAAAGTACAGATACCTGAAGATTCTGCTGAAGTATTTGTAATTCGTTACTTCCCACCTCTGGGCCCAGACTAGGTAAATGTGGAGGGTTCAGGAAGGACATCCGGATCAGGCATGCAGGCCATAAAAAATCAGATTTCCATACCGGATCGGTCAGGCCCGGGTTAACAATGACTGACTGGGTGCTGCTGGCCAGCAGGTGCAAACTGGGCTACTATTGGCTACTACTACTGACTACTATTGAAGATGAAGGAAGAGGAGAGGGAGAATCAGAATACTTTAATAATCCCTAAGGAAATAATGTTGTTACAGTTGCTCCAAGACAATAACAGTAACAGACTAAACTAAATTAAATAATATAATATATTACAATGTTTACAAAATAATAACGGGCAGCATGGTGGCACGGTGGTTAGCACTGTTGCCGCACAGCAAGAAGGTCCTGAGTTTGGTTCCACCATCAGGCCAGGGTCTTTCTGTGTTTTTGCACAGCATGTTCGTATTGTTTCGTGCCACCAGTCTCTCTTTATTCAGAGTTTTCAGACATAGTTGTCTGTGTTTCTCCTTTTCTTTTTTCTCCATCGTTGTCTTTCTTCTTTTTCACTGTCTTTTCATGTGTAACTAAGTCTCAGCTGTCAGATTTACCGCCTGGAGTATACAGAGTTCATTGGCTGAGTGGTATCACATGGGGTGGCTTAAGTTGCACCCAACTGGTCTGTGCATTTCTTCAGCCACTGAACCACTACCGTAAAGACCAGAAAATGCTGGACCAGTTAAAACAGAAGCACCCTATCAGCTTTGAAATTTTTGCCTTCTGTTTTTACTGGAAGTCCGGTTCCATATGGGACCGCTTGTGGGTGCAGCTCAGGACCCCAGTCCGCCTATTAGTGACCTCTGGCTTATGTTGACATTAAACGGTTCTCAAATTTAACTCCATATCCGTATTTCTTAGTTTTAGACCAGTGGCTTACTCTAATATGTTTCCCTCATTTAGTTGACTAAGAAATTAGTCACCATTGCTAATTAATTATATATATTTAATAATTAGGCAGCACAGTGGTTAGCAGTGTTGCCGCAAGCAAGAAGGTCCTGAGTTCAATTCCACCATCAGGCCGGGGTCTTTCTGTGTGGAGTTTGCATGTTCTCCCCGTGTTTGTGTTCCCTCCGGGTACTCCGGCTTCCTCCCACCGTCCAAAGACATGCAGTTTGTGGGGATAGGTTAATTGGATAATCCAAATTGCCACTAGGTGTGAATGTGCGAGTGAATGGTTGTCTGTCCTTGTGTGTTAGCCCTGCGACAGACTGGCGACCTGTCCAGGGTGTACTCCGCCTCTCACCCTATGATAGCTGGGATAGGCTCCAGCGCCCCCCGTGACCCTGAAAAGGATAAGCGGAAGCGAATGGATGGATGTTTACAAAATATAAGAAATAGCTCTAATGTATACAAATATATTCATAAATATCAAGAATATTAGAGACATGACATATACATGATTGACATTTTACTCTGACCTGTAAAATGTTGTTATTTTACTGTACAGGATGTGCAGAAGGGTGTAACTTCTGCATTGTGCATTAGATGGAGGAGTTGTACGGAGATATCCACAGGCAGGAATAATTTCCTGTGTCGTTCAGTGGTGCCTTATGGGTAATCGCAGTCTCTCACTGAGCGTGGTCCTGGGACTGGCCAGCACATCATGGAATGGGTGGGAGGTATTATCCAGCATTGTCCTTATCTTGGACAACATCCACCTCTCAGATACCACCCTAAGGGAGTCCAGCTCCATCCTCACAATATTACTGGACTTGGGGATCAGTTTATTTAGTCTGTTGGCATCTGTGACCCTCAACCCAACAGCATGGGATGGCACTGGCGGCAACAGACTCATAAAACATCCTAAGCATTGTCCGACAGATGTTGAAAGACCTCAGAGACACGTCTGGCCCTTCCTGTAGAGTGCAGTGGTGTTTTTAACCCAGTCCAGTTTATTGTCTGTGTGTACTCCAAAGTATTTATAGTCCTCCACAAAGTCCACATCGACTCCCTGGATTGAAACAGGGGTCACAGGATTCCTCATCCTCCTAAAGTCCAGGTCCTTCTGAGAGGGCATGTTAGGACTAGGAGGCAGCGAGACAGAAGGAAAGGCAGGAGTGTGTAGGTGAGAGTAGGACTCTAAGTGTTGGGACTGTGATGGGAAAGGGAAAGAGGGTAGATATACTATGAGAGACCAGCAAAGGCCAGGAGCAGTGGAGGTGGATTCTGCTGTACCTTGGTGTAGATGGAAAGAGAAAGAAAGTAGTGGTAATGTTCGAGGTAGAATATGTAAATAGGGTTGTGGCAGTAAGGAGAGTCTGAAAAAGGATCATGATTTTGAAGCTAAAAGTCAAAAGGTGTGAAGTGGTAGAGAGTGTTCCCACACGGTTAGCGTGGTGATTGGAGCGGACTTTAAAGGATATGTAGGTGAAAGGAACATCAGACAAATGCTTTTCTTTGTGCACTCGTGCTACAGTCAAAGCTGATTTCAGTTTTTGAGTGGGAAGAGAAAAATGGTGGCATGGTCTACAGCTGCTGAGGGGTGGGGATATGGACAGGCCTTTAGATTTGAATGCACAAAAGCACAAGAGCGCGATGGTAAAGAGTAAACTACATTCAGTAAAGAAACAACTGCATTATTCTGTTAACACAACATCTGATAACATCTGCACTGAGAGCATGCTAACACAAAGCTAGCCAAGAGCGCAGAGTGATGTTAAAGCTGAGTTGTATGCAGACCCGAACCCAGCAGCCAGAGCCTGAACTTCATCATGTAACAAAGACAGTAATGAGCAGTCAGGCTGCAGCGTCTGTTTCTACCTGTCCATGTGTGTACTGTAGAATCACCCTGGCAACCACTCTGCAGTGTGCTTTGGCCGATTTTTGGTTTTACTTTGTGTTTATGTGTAAAAATTGTATCCTCATTAGGATAGAGATCTGTGTCAGGTTTATACTGACAGTTGTGTGACAGTTGTTTCAGGTCATTTCTGGAGTAATGAAAAAGTAATGTAACAAGTAGTGTAATAAATTACTTTCTTTAGCGAGTAATTAAGTAACGTACTTTATGAAAAGTAATGAGTAATGTTTAACAGATTTTTTTTTGACCAATAACATAATAGTGCTAATAATACACACTGAAAATGAAAAATATGAAAAGCTTAGCATATGCTGAGACAGTGTTTCTCACTGTGCGCCACTTCCTGACCTGTGATCTCATCACATGATCAATAAGGAGAAAAAGAATGACATCATGTGATGCAGGCTGTGTCTTACCAGCTAATAGCTTCCTTCCTTTCTGTGTTGACAATTTAAATAAAGAGTCACTAACTCTTTATGTCCAGATGATTAAGAGTAAAGTTGACGAGGAAGACTACTGGCACAGCTCCAAGTTTAAAGCGTTCACCTTCGATGATGAAGATGATGAGTTAAGCAGGGTAAGACCTCCAGAACCAGAAGCCAGAGTGAATTGTTCTAGCCCTGCATGTGTGTCATTGACTTGATGTGGCTCTCAGGTATGATTTTTAGGTGTTGTTGTCTAACAGTTGAAGGAGTCTCGGCAGGCCGTAAACAATATACGGCGGCTGGTGGAGGAAGACGATGACGAAGATGATGTCGAGAGGGTCAGCTGGAGTGGCGAGCCAGTCGGCAGTAAGACCCCTACATTCTCCTCATTGGTCACTCCTTTGGAGAATGCTGAGATTTGATTGGTTATAGGGTGGTTACCTGTCATACTTGTGTCCACAGGTATTTCCTGGTCCGTTAAAGAGACAGCTGCCTCCAGTCAGAGGGCAGATAGAGAGCCTGCCTTCCCCAAAATTAGCACTGACACGCCATCGATCAGTAGGAGCCAATCAGGATACTCGCTGAGCTCTCTATTCAAAGGTGAGGACGGTCACATGACTCAGATAGACCGAAGCCTGATCATGTGATTCACTGCAGTTGTCAT